AGCAAACTAGGCTGCTGTTGCTGATTTCCGCACGCGTATGATGAGCCGTCGAGACTCATGGGTGTCACGTCGTTGTTGTTGTTGCTGTTGTTTGACTGCGCAGGTGCCGATTGCTGGTGTTGCTCGTAGAAGGACATGAAGGAGAAGAATTTCTCCATCATGCTTGGGTCGAAGCCTGCAGGTTGATTCGCAGGAGTCTCAGTTGTCAGAGGTCCACTGGAGATCCCCGATTGATCCTAGGGAAGGGTTACAGGCACGTCGGCCTGGGGGGTTATGGGCGCACTCACCCGCTATACAAACAAGCCCTTTTATCCCAATGGTTAGTGGTTGGGATTCTGACATGGTATCAGAGCGAAGGTCTCGGGTTCGATTCCAGCTGTGTGCACCTCGGGCATCCCAGTGCGGGGGGGTGTCAGAGGTCCACTGGAGATCCCCGATTGATCCTAGGGAAGGGTTACAGGCACGTCGGCCTGGGGGGTTATGGGCGCACTCACCCGCTATACAAACAAGCCCTTTTATCCCAATGGTTAGTGGTTGGGATTCTGACATCAGTGGACCTTGCTACTGGTCACGTTGCCGTACCCTCCTCTGTCTGTAGGCCAGAGGCAGGAGGTGGAGTAGGAGTAGTGCCGGGAGAGCCATTGGAGGAGCTTCTCTCCTTCTGAGTAGCCATGCCTTCTGATGTTATAGGTTTCTTGATAGTGGAATTTGTCCTGACTGCTCTCATACCATGTTGGGCTGAAAAAGCCCTTAGGATCTTTGCAGGACTAAACTCCTGGTAGGAATGATGTAATAGCAGAAACGTTTTAATGAAGATTGTTGAATCACCTTGCGCTGGTATGTGAGGGCAAAGTAGATTGATTGAAGCAGAGAGATGTCGGGCCTTTTATAAGAATACAAAGAGCGATAACTAATAACCGTTTTGCTGTTGCTGTTGCGGTTCGATACAGTAACGACTCGGGCAGCTGTTCGATAACGAATCAGCTGTTTGTCCTTGCTGTCGCACTGTACTTGTCGAGTCAAAGGTCGCGTGACCTTTGACCTTCGCGTAACCTCCAGCGGTTACCATTTCTTGTCAACCTCCGATGGTTGACTCGCCGTTGCTGCGCTGTTGCTTGCTCCGTTTGTGTTTACTGTTTCGACACGACAGAGGCGCTTAAATCATTTGTTTCCAACAATGATATCAAGCAGGGATGTGGTCTTCAAGGTACGCCAAACGCGCTTTGGTGCCACCGCTTATGATGCTCCACCTGTTTTTGAGACGTCTCACATAACTTTGAGACCTCTCTGAACTCGAGGGTGGGGCATTAGGGGGGTGACTTCAAGCAGGGATGCGGTCTTCAAGGTACGCCAAAAGCGCTTTGGTGCCACTGCTTATGATGCTCCACCTGATACTGCTCAGGGCACGGAATGGTATGGGAGGGACAGAGTGAGGGTTTGGAACAGGCAAGATAAGATGGCCCGGCAAGATGTTTTGAATCCACCATTGATCCACCATAGAGGAAGAAGAGACGGGGTATAGCATTAGGGCAAGATCAAGTATACAGAAATTTGAGTTGTCACGATGTGAGATGATACTAGTTTGATGAGCACAAGAAAGAGTTAGCTTGAATAAACAGAGCGGACATTTACAAGTTTGGAACAATGAGTGCCATCAATGTACCGTACATTCATGGTGAGCTCAATCGGTATACAAGGTAGATCCACGGTGGATTCAAGGGGTGCTGAAGCTGCTTCCCAGGTGAAGGTGAACTCAAGGTGCATTCTACATAAGCTGGACGCAAGGTGCATTCTATGCAAGGCGAACTCAAGGTGCATTCTATATGGGTTGAACTCAACGTGCATTCTTTGTAAGGTGAACTCAAGGTGCATTCTATATAAGCTGAACGCAAGGTGCATTCTATACAAGGCGAACTCTGCATTCTATATAAGGTGAACTCAAGGTGCATTCTATATAGGGTGAACTCAAGGTGCATTCTATATAAAGTGAACTCAAGGTGCATTCTATTTAGGGTGAACTCAAGGCGCATTCTATATTAGGTGGACATAAGGTGCATTCTATATGGGTTGAACTCAACGTGCATTCTTTGTAAGGTGAACTCAAGGTGCATTCTATATAAGCTGAACGCAAGGTGCATTCTATACAAGGCGAACTCTGCATTCTATATAAGGTGAACTCAAGGTGCATTCTATATAGGGTGAACTCAAGGTGCATTCTATATAAAGTGAACTCAAGGTGCATTCTATTTAGGGTGAACTCAAGGCGCATTCTATATTAGGTGGACATAAGGTACATTCTATTAAAGGTGAACTCAAGGTGCATTCCATCCTGCGTGAACTCAAGGTGCATTGCAGACAAGGTGAAATCAAGGTGCCTTTTAGTCGAGGTGAACTCAAAGTTCATTCCAAGGCGCACAATCCTCCCACACATAGTCACACAAACGGGGGCAAGAGCAAGAGCAAGCGCCAGAACAATAGCAAATGCAAGAGCAACGGAACGGACAAATGAAAGAGCAAGGGAAAGAGCAAATGTGAGAGCTGGAGCGAGAGCCCATGCCACCTGGCGTGCAAATGGGGCAGCTGTCCACTCCGAAGGTGCCCCAACAAGCATCTCATGCCACGCGATTTTGGTTGTCATGAGACGAGATTATGAATCGCAACGAAGTGCTTCAAAATGAGCAAGATGAGGCCATGGCATCTCGGTTTCTCAGGGAAATTTAATCAACCAACTTGTTGATGCGAGAAAAGTGATCGCTAGGAAGTGCTTCAGAAAGAGCAAGATGAGGCCATGGCATCTCACGTGCGAATGGGGTTGCCGTCGACTCGAAGGAGCGAGAGAGTCTTCATCAAGCCCTGAATGGGAGAGCAAGGCGGGAAACGGAGGTACGGAATTCAGAACAAGGAATGAAGAGCTTGAAAGGCGTTACGGATTGTTTTTGAGAATTCCCAAAAACACCCTGCAGCAACAAGGAATGAGGGGCTTCAAAGGCATTATGGACTGATGAGTTTTGCGTTCTACCCAAGGAAATGTGAGGGAGTGAGAGAGCAAGGGAGTTGTAGGCAAAGTGAGGATGAACAGAAGGAGGGGAACGGAAGAAAACAGTGGGACTGGCTATTCTTGGAAATCTCAGGGAGAGTAGAGACACTGCAAAAGCACCAGAAGCAACAGCAGCAGGAACAGTAGCGGTGCTACGGTCATTGTCCGCAGCGGCGACAGCAGTGGAAGAGATGAGAGGAGTAGAACGTTGGAAATGTTGTTGTGTGACAGAACGAACTGAACACACTCACAAGTTTGGGAGGTAGCATGGGAATGTTGTTGTCGGAGACATCGAGAGTCTCCAATCGAGTCAGCTGGGTCACTTCCTGGAGAGGATTCAGGCGGTCATTGCACAATAATCAGGTTACACAATAATCAGGTTACACAATAATCAGGTTACACAATAATCAGGTTACACAATAATCAGGTTACACAATAATCAGGTTACACAATAATCAGGTTACACAATAATCAGGTTACACAATAATTAAATTACACAATATTCAGAAAACAAAAAGTAGCAAGGTTACACAAGTACTAGGCTAAATGATCATATCAAGGCTGCAACAACTACTCAAAGGTGTAGTGTCTAGCGAGTGACTCACAAGGCAAACTGCGCAATGCGACACGGAGAAACTGCATATGGGTTGCTTATAAGGCGTACAGTATGATGTGCTTGTTTTGTAGCAAGTCACAGTGGAGTGTTTTTCGAACTTGATGGCGAAGCGGTGCGCATAAAAGAGTGGCAAGGCATGCTTACAATGAGTATGGATTCGATTTGATTCTGTGAGAGATTGAGGACCCGAAGGGATGGGAGAGAGTCGAAGCCTGCAGGAAAGGCAGTGAGGCGATTGCCCCTGGCGGATAAGGGAAGTTGAAGGGGATGGAAGGAGGCAAGATGCGGTTCAGTGCGATGTCATGCGGTACATTGAGCGGAGAGAGTTGAAGCTTGGAGGGAGGACAGATAGGCAACTTGGCATTGCTAGAAAACAGATGGCACGAGGATGGGCAAGACATGGGATGGGCAAGACATGGGATGGGCAAGGCATGGGATGGGCAAGACATGGGATGGGCAAGACATGGGATGGGCAAGACATGGGATGGGCAAGACATGGGATGGGCAAGACATGGGATGGGCAAGACATGGGATGGGCAAGACATGGGATGGGCAAGACATGGGATGGGCAAGGCATGGGATGGGCAAGACATGGGATGGGCAAGGCATGGATGGCAATATTGTTGGCTCCTGGCATAAGGAAAGGCAAGGGCCACCATGCAACATCATAACCATACCTGTCAGGTTTCTGAGATTTCCTGAATGAAGGGCGTGGGACAACATGGAACAGCATAATCATACTCATCAGGGGCGTCCCTTTACCCCCTGGCCTGTTACCTCTACATTATAAAACCTTTTTGACTGATCCACCACACCTTGTCTCTTCACCACACCATGCCTCTTCTCTACCTGATGTGCCGACTTAAGTATACCAGAGCTTTCTCTACCCGCAGTGCGGCTCAACTCAAGGGAGAAGACTTTCGAGGTCTACCTGAGGTGCAGCTCTGTGAGACGAGGAAGGGCGGCCAGGAAGAAGAAGGGAGCGAGCAGTGGGGAGGAGGAGATGACTTTAGTCTTTAGATACGACTCGAAATCAAATCACCTTTGAGGGCTCTCAAGCACACCAACCGTTCCCTACCTGAGGTGTAGCTCTGTGAGACGAGGAAGGGCGGCCAGAGAGAAGAAGGGTGCGAGCAGTGGCGGGGAGGAGGGCGAGCAGCAGCAGGAGAGGTTCAAGCATTGTAGAGAAGAAATGTCCTGTGGTGTTGTCAGGGGCAGCTGGAGGAGAGGGAAGGGAGGGAACGGAAAGAAGGGGGAAGAGGGATGGATGAGGGAACAAGGAGGAGGAGGGCGGGCAGCAGCAGGAGAGGTTCAAGCATTGTAGGGAGGAGATGTCCTGTGGTGCTGTCAGGGGCAGCTGGAGGAGAGGGAAGGGAGGGAACGGAAAGAAGGGGGAAGAGGGATGGATGAGGGAACAAGGAGGAGGAGGGCGGGCAGCAGCAGGAGAGGTTCAAGGACTGTAACGAGGGGATGTCCTGTGGTGCTGTCAGGGGCAGCTGGAGGAGAGGGGCGGGAGGGAACGGAAAGACGGGGGAAGAGAGATGGATGAGGGAACAAGGAGGAGGACAGCAGGAGAGGTTCCAGAAATGTAACGAGCGGATGTCCTGTGGTGCTGTCAGGGGCAGCTGGAGGGGTGGGGAGTGAGGAGAAGGGACAGGGGGGAAAGAAGTAAGAAAGCCCAACAGTGAAGGGCAGGCTCCCTCCAGTACCACCTACCCCAGCCCCACCTACCCCAGCCCCACCTACCCCAGCCCCACCTACCCCAGCCCCACCTACCCCAGCCCCACCTACCCCAGCCCCACCTACCCCAGCCCCACCTACCCCAGCCCCACCTACCCCAGCCCCACCTACCCCAGCCCCACCTACCCCAGCCCCACCTACCCCAGCCCCACCTACCCCAGCCCCACCTACCCCAGCCCCACCTACCCCAGCCCCACCTACCCCAGCCCCACCTACCCCAGCCCCACCTACCCCAGCCCCACCTACCCCAGCCCCACCTACCCCAGCCCCACCTACCCCAGCCCCACCTACCCCAGCCCCACCTACCCCAGCCCCACCTACCCCAGCCCCACCTACCCCAGCCCCACCTACCCCAGCCCCATGGTGGTGAGGGAGAGGGTGCGACATTGTGCGAGCGAGCGCAGAGAATCAAAATGTGCATTCTACATGTGAGTTATCCAAATGTGAGCCATTCCCCACCTGCTTTGGAGCTCCTGAAAAACGATACCATCTAGCATAAAGTCACCTGCCCCAGCCTCTTCTGCACCTGTCCCTATACTCACCTGCCCCAGGGGGTTGGTGGCGAGGGAGAGAGTGCGCAGCGATGGGAGGGAGCGGAGGGCGAGGGAAGGCCAGGCTGCGATCTTATTGGTTGACAGGTCCAGCTCCTGTGGAGGCATGGTGGTGTGTATGGTGGTGATGGGCATGGTGGTGTGTATGGTGGTGAGGGGCATGGTGACTTTTGTGTTGATTTGGAAAGTTGCATGGTGAGGCATGTGGTGGTGAGGGGCATGGTGACTTTTGTGTTGATTTGGAAAGCTGCGTGGTGAGGCATGCGATGGTGGTGGTGAGGCATGCGATGACTCATACATTCGAGGTTTCTAAAAAACATTTGCATACTCACAGTGAGGGAGGTGCAAGCTGAGAGGAAGAAGGGCAGCGAGGTGAGAGAGTTGTGAGAGGCGTTGATGGACGCCAGAGGGATGTCACCCGCAGCCAATGCTGTGATGCCACGTGGCAGCTCTGATAAGCCCTTCTTTGACAGCTGGAGGGCCTGTGAAGTGGGGATGGGAGGGGAAGGAAGGGAAGGAGGGGAAGGAGGGGAAGGAGGGGAAGGAGGGGCGAGGGTTCGTCAGCTGGTTGATTTTGTTCTCTTTTCGCTCCACAGTTGATGCTGTGCAATGCACAAAGATCACAAAGATCACAGTTGATGCTGTGCAATGCACAAAGATCACAAAGATCACAGTTGATGCTGTGCAATGCACAAAGATCACAAAGATCACAGTTGATGCTGTGCAATGCACAAAGATCACAAAGATCACAGTTGATGCTGTGCAATGCACAAAGATCACAAAGATCACAGTTGATGCTGTGCAATGCACAAAGATCACAAAGATCACAGTTGATGCTGTGCAATGCACAAAGATCACAGAGATCACAGTTGATGCTGTGCAATGCACAAAGATCACAGAGATCACAGTTGATGCTGTGCAATGCACAAAGATCACAGAGATCACAGTTGATGCTGTGCAATGCACAAAGATCACAGAGATCACAGTTGATGCTGTGCAATGCACAAAGATCACAGAGATCACAGTTGATGCTGTGCAATGCACAAAGATCACAGAGATCACAGTTGATGCTGTGCAATGCACAAAGATCACAGAGATCACAGTTGATGCTGTGCAATGCACAAAGATCACAAAGATCACAGTTGATGCTGTGCAATGCACAAAGATCACAAAGATCACAGTTGATGCTGTGCAATGCACAAAGATCACAAAGATCACAGTTGATGCTGTGCAATGCACAAAGATCACAAAGATCACAGTTGATGCTGTGCAATGCACAAAGATCACAAAGATCACAGTTGATGCTGTGCAATGCACAAAGATCACAAAGATCACAGTTGATGCTGTGCAATGCACAAAGATCACAAAGATCACAGTTGATGCTGTGCAATGCACAAAGATCACAAAGATCACAGTTGATGCTGTGCAATGCACAAAGATCACAAAGATCACAGTTGATGCTGTGCAATGCACAAAGATCACAGAGATCACAGTTGATGCTGTGCAATGCACAAAGATCACAGAGATCACAGTTGATGCTGTGCAATGCACAAAGATCACAGAGATCACAGTTGATGCTGTGCAATGCACAAAGATCACAGAGATCACAGTTGATGCTGTGCAATGCACAAAGATCACAGAGATCACAGTTGATGCTGTGCAATGCACAAAGATCACAGAGATCACAGTTGATGCTGTGCAATGCACAAAGATCACAAAGATCACAGTTGATGCTGTGCAATGCACAAAGATCACAAAGATCACAGTTGATGCTGTGCAATGCACAAAGATCACAAAGATCACAGTTGATGCTGTGCAATGCACAAAGATCACAAAGATCACAGTTGATGCTGTGCAATGCACAAAGATCACAAAGATCACAGTTGATGCTGTGCAATGCACAAAGATCACAGAGATCACAGTTGATGCTGTGCAATGCACAAAGATCACAGAGATCACAGTTGATGCTGTGCAATGCACAAAGATCACAGAGATCACAGTTGATGCTGTGCAATGCACAAAGATCACAGAGATCACAGTTGATGCTGTGCAATGCACAAAGATCACAGAGATCACAGTTGATGCTGTGCAATGCACAAAGATCACAGAGATCACAGTTGATGCTGTGCAATGCACAAAGATCACAGAGATCACAGTTGATGCTGTGCAATGCACAAAGATCACAGAGATCACAGTTGATGCTGTGCAATGCACAAAGATCACAGAGATCACAGTTGATGCTGTGCAATGCACAAAGATCACAGAGATCACAGTTGATGCTGTGCAATGCACAAAGATCACAGAGATCACAGTTGATGCTGTGCAATGCACAAAGATCACAGAGATCACAGTTGATGCTGTGCAATGCACAAAGATCACAGAGATCACAGTTGATGCTGTGCAATGCACAAAGATCACAGAGATCACAGTTGATGCTGTGCAATGCACAAAGATCACAGAGATCACAGTTGATGCTGTGCAATGCACAAAGATCACAGAGATCACTCTGAATAAGAAGGATGCATTCCAGTCAGATGTCTTAGTGAAAGGAGCCTCACTGATTATGACATCCCAAAGAACCGCTTTTTCCATCACTCACCCCTTTCCCTCAACCTGATAGATTACTCACCCCTCCTTCAAAGCACTCCCTCAGCCATGGCTCTGCCACTGCTCCTTCTGCAGCCGCCACTGCCCCTCCCTCACCCTCCACCCCTCCCTCCACTCCGTATGCTCTCTCCACCCTGTCTCCAAATCCACTCTTCATCTCCTTGCTCTGCCTCGATTGCAAAACCTCTGGCACCATGTCTGCCTCAGCAGCAGTCACGGCAGCAGCAGCAGCGGCAGGCGCAGCAGCAGCAGCAGCAGCAGCCGGCGGTGATTCTAGAGTCAGCTCACGCAGTGCAGCAGCGCTGGCAGTATCTGGTGAGGAGCAGGAGGCAGGGAGGAGAGAAAAAAAAAAGGGGGGAAAGAAGGAGGTTGGGAAAAGTCTCTAGCTGGTTTTTGAGAACTCTACAAAACCAACTACGCAGGTCTTATACGAGGCAGGTCGTATCTGAGGCAGGTCGCACCTGAATCGTGGTCATCAGCGGAAGCAGCAGGGAGGCGGGAGCGCAGATAGTCCAGAAGGTTCTTGGCCGGGCCATTGATGAGCGTGCTGTAGGGGTGACAGGTGAAGGGGGATGATGGGAATAAGGGAACGAGAGCACGGATAGTCCAGGAGGTTCTTGGCCGGGCCGTTGATGAGCGTGCTGTAGGGGTGACAGGTGAAGGGGGATGATGGGAATAAGGGAACGAGAGCACGGATAGTCCAGGAGGTTCTTGGCCGGGCCGTTGATGAGCGTGCTGTAGGGGTGACAGGTGAAGGGGGATGATGGGAATAAGGGAACGAGAGCACGGATAGTCCAGGAGGTTCTTGGCCGGGCCGTTGATGAGCGTGCTGTAGGGGTGACAGGTGAAGGGGGATGATGGGAATAAGGGAACGAGAGCACGGATAGTCCAGGAGGTTCTTGGCCGGGCCGTTGATGAGCGTGCTGTAGGGGTGACAGGTGAAGGGGATGATGGGAATAAGGGAACGAGAGCACGGATAGTCCAGGAGGTTCTTGGCCGGGCCGTTGATGAGCGTGCTGTGAGGGGGGGGGAAGGGGGGAGGTTGAGGGGGATGATGGGCATGGTGTGCTTTGCATCAGCTCAGAACACACACGGTGCGTTTAGGGTTGACTCCGAGCGCAGATAGTCCAGGAGGTTCTTGGCTGGGCCATTGATAAGCGTGCTGTGGGGAGTGGGGGGAAAAGGTTGAAGGGGATGAGGGGCATGGGAATAGTGGGATGGGGATGAAGGGCATGGGTATGGGGATGGGGGATGGGGAATGATGAGGCGAGTAAGGGGACCAGAGCGCACATAGTCCAGGAGGAGGTTCTTGGCAGGGCCATTAATGAGCGTGCTGTGAGGGGGGAAGGTTGAGGGGAATGATGGGCATGGTGTGCTTTGAATCGACTCAACAGAACACACACGGTGCGTTTAGGGTTGACTCCAAGCGCAGATGGTCCAGGAGGAGGTTCTTGGCTGGGCCATTGATAAGCGTGCTGTGGGGAAGGGGCGGTTGAGAAGGATGAGCGGATGATGAGAAGTGCATGGGTATGGATGGATGAGGGACGAGGGGACGAGGGGATGAGGGACGAGGGGATGAGGGACAAGGGGATGAGGGATGAGGGGATGAGGGACGAGGGGATGAGGGACGAGGGGATGAGGGACGAGGGGATGAGGGAAGGAGAGCGCGGATAGTCCAGGAGGCTCTTGGCAAGACCGTTGATGAGCGTGCTGTGAGGGGTGGAAAAGGTTGAGGGAATTAAGATTAGGGGATGAGGTAATGATGTGAAGACGGGAGGAAAGGAACGGGGATAAAGGGATGAGGCAAGGCGTGGTTAACAACGAGGTTGCTGATCAGGAAACCCAAGTGCTACAGGGGAAATGTGTAGAGATCCGACCACTTTTGCAACTTTTGAGACGTCTCAAAAATCAGAGTGCTTCAGGGGGAATTGTCGTAGCAAATCCGACCAGTTCCGCAACTTCTCTAAGGTAAGGTTGTTACGAGCCAACCGTAGCCATACCTTCGGATTGTTCTAATGGGATTGCCTGCCGCTGCGACCCTCTGCAGCGATGTCATGCTGCCTGCGAGGAGGGAACGGAATGGGGTGGCATGGGAGTGGAGAGAGGAGGTGCAAATGTGCGTGGCGTGTTGAGGCAACCAAATGTTGAGGTGACATGAGAAATTGTGACGCATTTAATTTTTCAAAAGGCGATAGCATGCTGCCTGACAGATAGATGAGGGGATGAGGGTGGAGAGCGGAGTGCAGTTAATGCATGCTCTTGACACATAGCTCTTGTAAAATATATAGCTGGCACAGCATTGCAACACACTGCATTATTGTGACACGGTGGCAACGCAGGCAGGCAGGTTCGGCATACCGAGCCAGTCGGGAAGCTTTGGGCGTACCGAGCCAGGCGGGCAGGGTGGGGAGGTCATTGTCAGAAACATCAAGAGCGGCGGCGCAGCGATGGGGGGAGGTCCTCCAGCTGACAGGGTGTTGTCGGGTGGGTACGGGGGGGGAGGGAGGGGAGAAGGGAGGGGGACGGAGGGGGGAAGGAGGGGTAAAGGAGGGGGGAAGGAGGGGGGGAGGAGGGGGGGAGGAGTGGGGAGGAGGGGGGGGAGGAGGGGGGGAGGAGGGGGGGAGGGGGAAGACATCCAAAGCTTGGATGCAATGAGGGAGGAAGCAGTGAGGAAGATAAGAGGTGGGCGGGGTGAAAAGGTTGTTGTGTGAGACTGAGACATCAATGAGCTGGATGAAAGCCAACCAGATTCTCCAAGTATGTTAAAGCAGGAGGAAAAGAGCATGGGAGATGCAACAAGTGAGACACAGCACGTGAGAGATGCTCTAATCAAGCATGTCCCACTGCACCGATGCAAGGTGCGTACCTTATTGGAGGGCACTGCTTTTGAGGTGCCTCAAAAGCGAGAGACAGCACATGAGACACAAGCGTGTCCCACCGCACACATAAAAGAGTGCGTACCTTATTGGAGGGCACGGAGAGAGTAACAAGCGAGGGCAGGTGGCCGATCTCCGCTGGCAGCTGCTTCAGCTTGTTGCGGCTGACAAATGGAAGGCGAGCGGTGAGAACGAGCAGGGCGGGGGGAAGACGGGGCACGTGGGAGGAAAACAAGAGTGAGAGAAACAAGAGGGTGGGGAGATGAACGGTATGGAAAAAGGATGAGGTGAAAGCGAACGGGAAGGGGGGTGAGGAAGATGTGGAGGGCGATTTTCACTGGCAGCTGATTCAGCTTGTTGCGGCTGAAGCATGGAAGCAAGCGGTGAGAACGAGCAGGGCGAGGGGGAGACAGGGAACGGGGGAGGTGTGGAACGAAGAGAGTATAGAGGGGGGAGGAGGGATTGGGAGGGTAGGGAGACGAACGGGATAAAAAACGGATGAGGAGAAAGCAAGCGGGAAGGGGGGTGGGGAAGGAGGGGGAGGAATGGAGAAACGGAAGTGGATGAGGGAGAGAGGAGAGAGGAAACGAGGAGAAGAACGGGAGAGATGAGAGAGGAAACGAGGAGAAGAACGGGAGAGATGAGAGAGGAAACGAGGAGAAGAACGGGAGAGAGGAGAGAGGAAACGAGGAGAAGAACGGGAGAGATGAGAGAGGAAACGAGGAGAGGAACGGGAGAGAGGAGAGAGGAAACGAGGAGAAGAACGGGAGAGAGGAGAGAGGAAACGAGGAGAAGAACGGGAGAGATGAGAGAGGGAAACGAGGAGAAGAACGGGAGAGATGAGAGAGGAAACGAGGAGAAGAACGGGAGAGATGAGAGAGGAAACGAGGAGAAGAACGGGAGAGATGAGAGAGGAAACGAGGAGAAGAACGGGAGAGAGGAGAGAGGAAACGAGGAGAAGAACGGGAGAGATGAGAGAGGAAACGAGGAGAAGAACGGGAGAGATGAGAGAGGAAACGAGGAGAAGAACGGGAGAGATGAGAGAGGAAACGAGGAGAAGAACGGGAGAGATGAGAGAGGAAACGAGGAGAAGAACGGGAGAGATGAGAGAGGAAACGAGGAGAGGAACGGGAGAGAGGAGAGAGGAAACGAGGAGAAGAACGGGAGAGAGGAGAGAGGAAACGAGGAGAAGAACGGGAGAGATGAGAGAGGAAACGAGGAGAAGAACGGGAGAGATGAGAGAGGAAACGAGGAGAAGAACGGGAGAGAGAGAGAGGAAACGAGGAGAAGAACGGGAGAGATGAGAGAGGAAACGAGGAGAAGAACGGGAGAGATGAGAGAGGAAACGAGGAGAAGAACGGGAGAGATGAGAGAGGAAACGAGGAGAAGAACGGGAGAGAGGAGAGAGGAAACGAGGAGAAGAACGGGAGAGATGAGAGAGGAAACGAGGAGAAGAACGGGAGAGAGGAGAGAGGAAACGAGGAGAAGAACGGGAGAGAGGATAGAGGAAACGAGGAGAAGAACGGGAGAGATGAGAGAGGAAACGAGGAGAAGAACGGGAGAGATGAGAGAGGAACGAGGAGAAGAACGGGAGAGAGGAGAGAGGAAACGAGGAGAAGAACGGGAGAGATGAGAGAGGAAACGAGGAGAAGAACGGGAGAGATGAGAGAGGAAACGAGGAGAAGAACGGGAGAGATGAGAGAGGAAACGAGGAGAGAACGGGAGAGAGAGAGAGGAAACGAGGAGAAGAACGGGAGAGAGGAGAGAGGAAACGAGGAGAAGAACGGGAGAGATGAGAGAGGAAACGAGGAGAAGAACGGGAGAGAGAGAGAGGAAACGAGGAGAAGAACGGGAGAGAGGAGAGAGGAAACGAGGAGAAGAACGGGAGAGAGAGAGGAAACGAGGAGAAGAACGGGAGAGATGAGAGAGGAAACGAGGAGAAGAACGGGAGAGATGAGAGAGGAAACGAGGAGAAGAACGGGAGAGATGAGAGAGGAAACGAGGAGAAGAACGGGAGAGATGAGAGAGAGGAAACGAGGAGAAGAACGGGAGAGATGAGAGAGGAAACGAGGAGAAGAACGGGAGAGATGAGAGAGGAAACGAGGAGAAGAACGGGAGAGAGGAGAGAGGAAACGAGGAGAAGAACAGGAGAGATGAGAGAGGAAACGAGGAGAAGAACGGGAGAGAGGAGAGAGGAAACGAGGAGAAGAACGGGAGAGATGAGAGAGGAAACGAGGAGAAGAACGGGAGAGATGAGAGAGGAAACGAGGAGAAGAACGGGAGAGAGGAGAGAGAAACGAGGAGAAGAGGAGAAGAACGGAGAGATGAGAGAGGAAACGAGGAGAAGAACGGGAGAGAGGAGAGAGGAAACGAGGAGAAGAACGGGAGAGAGGAGAGAGGAAACGAGGAGAAGAACGGGAGAGATGAGAGAGGAAACGAGGAGAAGAACGGGAGAGAGGAGAGAGGAAACGAGGAGAAGAACGGGAGAGAGGAGAGAGGAAACGAGGAGAAGAACGGGAGAGAGATGAGAGAGGAAACGAGGAGAAGAACGGGAGAGATGAGAGAGGAAACGAGGAGAAGAACGGGAGAGAGGAGAGAGGAAACGAGGAGAAGAACGGGAGAGAGGAGAGAGGAAACGAGGAGAAGAACGGGAGAGATGAGAGAGGAAACGAGGAGAAGAACGGGAGAGATGAGAGAGGAAACGAGGAGAAGAACGGGAGAGATGAGAGAGGAAACGAGGAGAAGAACGGGAGAGATGAGAGAGGAAACGAGGAGAAGAACGGGAGAGATGAGAGAGGAAACGAGGAGAAGAACGGGAGAGATGAGAGAGGAAACGAGGAGAAGAACGGGAGAGATGAAGGGGTGGACTGAGGAAGAGGAGAAAAAGAGAGAGGGGAAGGCGTTAAGAGGGGGGTTGGACGAAGGCGGGATAACAAGAGGTGAAAGAGTGAGAAAGAGAAGGGGGAATGGGGGCCGGGAAAGTGGGGGGAGGGGAGGGGGCAGAGGGGATGAGGAAGAAGGGGGGAGGGGAAGGAGGATAACATTCATTGCTTCAAGAGATGAATACATGGGATGTTGCTTCAGGAAATCGGCTTGAGTTGGGATGCATTCAGGGACCAAGCATTGGAGGCAGGAGTGTTTGGTTAAGCATCTGTAGAGAAACCTTCTCAACGTGGCTGACCTGCTAATAGGCGTGCCACGTGGCAGCGCCTCAGGTGAAACTAAGAACGTATCCCTGGTGCAACTCAAAACGTACCCCAGGTGCAACTCCAGTAGGGAGGTGCAGCCACTGATGGTCGATGGAACAGAAACAAGGCCTGATGGCGGTGGCACGGCGCATGAGAGGGTGTGGGGAGGGATGAAGAACCGGAGAGAGGTTTGAGGAGAGATGGAGAACGGGGGAAAGGTGTGAGGAGGGTTGGAGAAGGGGGGAGAGGTGTGAGGAGGGATGGAGAACGGGGAAGTGGGAGAAAAGGGGAGGGGGGAGGATGAAGAGACGAGTATGTGTGGGCGACTGTATGGATCAAAGCAGAAGGATTTGTGTTTTGAGTCGACTAAAAACACAACTCTTTGAGTCGACTCAAAACACACGGGGAGGATCAAGAGAGGGTATGTGTGGGCGACTGTATGGATCAAAGCAGGAGTTGTTCCGAGAAGCACAGAGAGAAACGAGAGGCGCTTGAGGGTGGAGCACGGTATACATACTTATCCAAGTATGTACCTTAGATATTCGCACATGTACATGTGTGGAATCGGAAGTCATAAGGACGTGGAGGAAACGAATGAAAATGAGAGGGAAAATGAAAAACTAAGCTCAAAAGAGTGTGCGGGGAAACATAAGCACTCGTGGTTACGATAACACACGCCGGAACGATCATGCATGGGTGGATACGTGCAAATATGAAATTGGCCTTGCTCGTACACCCTAATATGATAAGGGTATGCATTGCTTCGTTAGGGCATGGATTCTGGATGCACGGGTTGCATGTCATGTGTAAAAAGAGAGTTTTTGAGACGTCTAAGAAATGACACACAGTTCTGAAAGGCGTTGAGGTGTACGAGGGACGAGAGGCCTCCAATGTCGTCAGGGAGAGACTGCAGCTTGTTGCGCCCTGGGCCGTGGGAAAAAGGGTAGGAGAAACGAGACGAGACAAGATGAGTTGAGTGGAGACAGAAAGTGGTTGTTGAGAAATGTTAGATGGCCTTGGTTGAAGAGGAGGGACGAGGGGCCCTGGTGGCAGCCTCCTCTGTCGTCAGAAAAAGCCTGCGTGCAGCTTGTTGCGCCCTGGGGGGTGGGAAGACAAGGAGATGATGAGACGAGATGAGACGAGACGAGACAGGTGGAGAGGAGATGAGGCGATAGGAGAGGAGATGGGGAGGTACCAAGGTGGAGCGATGCCATACCAAAATGGATAGATGCCATACCAAGGTCGAGATGCCATACCAAGGTCGAGATGCCATACCAAGGTCGAGATGCCATACCAAGGTCGAGATGCCATACCAAGGTCGAGATGCCATACCAAGGTCGAGATGCCATACCAAGGTCGAGATGCCATACCAAGGTCGAGATGCCATACCAAGGTCGAGATGCCATACCAAGGTCGAGATGCCATACCAAGGTCGAGATGCCATACCAAGGTCGAGATGCCATACCAAGGTCGAGATGCCATACCAAGGTCGAGATGCCATACCAAGGTCGAGATGCCATACCAAGGTCGAGATGCCATACCAAGGTCGAGATGCCATACCAAGGTCGAGATGCCATACCAAGGTCGAGATGCCATACCAAGGTCGAGATGCCATACCAAGGTCGAGATGCCATACCAAGGTCGAGATGCCTTACCAAGGTCGAGATGCCATACCAAGGTCGAGATGCCTTACCAAGGTCGAGATGCCATACCAAGGTCGAGATGCCATACCAAGGTCGAGATGCCATACCAAGGTCGAGATGCCATACCAAGGTCGAGATGCCATACCAAGGTCGAGATGCCTTACCAAGGTCGAGATGCCATACCAAGGTCGAGATGCCATACCAAGGTCGAGATGCCATACCAAGGTCGAGATGCCATACCAAGGTCGAGATGCCATACCAAGGTCGAGATGCCATACCAAGGTCGAGATGCCATACCAAGGTCGAGATGCCATACCAAGGTCGAGATGCCATACCAAGGTCGAGATGCCATACCAAGGTCGAGATGCCATACCAAGGTCGAGATGCCTTACCAAGGTCGAGATGCCTTACCAAGGTCGAGATGCCATACCAAGGTCGAGATGCCATACCAAGGTCGAGATGCCATACCAAGGTCGAGATGCCATACCAAGGTCGAGATGCCATACCAAGGTCGAGATGCCATACCAAGGTCGAGATGCCATACCAAGGTCGAGATGCCTTACCAAGGTCGAGATGCCATACCAAGGTCGAGATGCCATACCAAGGTCGAGATGCCATACCAAGGTCGAGATGCCATACCAAGGTCGAGATGCCATACCAAGGTCGAGATGCCTTACCAAGGTCGAGATGCCATACCAAGGTCGAGATGCCATACCAAGGTCGAGATGCCATACCAAGGTCGAGATGCCATACCAAGGTCGAGATGTCATACCAAGGTCGAGATGCCATTACAAGGTCGAGATGCCATACCAAGGTCGAGATGCCATACCAAGGTCGAGATGCCATACCAAGGTCGAGATGCCATACCAAGGTCGAGATGCCATACCAAGGTCGAGATGCCATACCAAGGTCGAGATGCCATACCAAGGTCGAGATGCCTTACCAAGGTCGAGATGCCATATCAAGGTCGAGATGCCATACCAAGGTCGAGATGCCATACCAAGGTCGAGATGCCTTACCAAGGTCGAGATGCCTTACCAAGGTCGAGATGCCATACCAAGGTCGAGATGCCATACCAAGGTCGAGATGCCATACCAAGGTCGAGATGCCATACCAAGGTCGAGATGCCATACCAAGGTCGAGATGCCATACCAAGGTCGAGATGCCATACCAAGGTCGAGATGCCTTACCAAGGTCGAGATGCCTGAGGTTGCGGAGTGAGGAGAGCAGAGGCGAGGGGATGCTCTGCAGCTGGTTGTTCTGTGGTGGGGCAGGCGAGGAAGAAGAGGAGGCAAAAACGGGGTGACAAGACAAACAGATGAAAGAAAGGAGAAAGCAAATTCTTGGTTTAGGGTCGGGAGAAATATATTCCAGTTCTGGTGTGCGGGGAGAGATGGGAGAGGGAAAGGGGAGAGAAGGGGGCGGGATGAGAGAGAGCTTTCTCAAGTCTGAATGTGCCTTAAAAAAGATCCTGGCACATCTATTAAGTCCGGAAACACAGAAGCGCTTCACAACACATTCAAACAATGATGCACACATGTAAGTACACCCCAGTAACACATGGATGGACCATGGTACAGGTATGTTCTTACGAGACACCGAAGTTTACCTGCGGGACGAGATGAGAGAAAGCTAGGCAAAGGCTTGGGAAGCAACAGAGATGAGTCAAGCAGGAACACAACACAACGCACCTCGAGATTGAGATGAGAGAGCGCAGTGCAGGCATCTAAGGAGGCTGGCAGGGAAGTGATGCGGTTGGAGCAGGCCTGCGAAAATAGGAGGGGCAAGGGGAAGGCACTCGCTGGGCTTGTCTAAATGCTCACTCCAAGCGAAATGTTTACCCCAAAACAAGTTCGAATCGAGGAGGGAAGAACAGGAGGCAAAGGAGGCAGTGGAAACGAGTGGATGGGGATGAGGTAGGAGCGAGGCTGGCGGACATCAAGGTGGGTGAGGAGTGTGCAGGCGGCAAGAGGAGGAAACGGGGGTGGGGGGGAGGGAGGAGAAGAGGAAGGGTGGCGGACCTCGAGGTGGGTGAGGAGTGTGCAGGCGGCGAGAGCAGCAGGCAGGCCTTCCAACACGTTGTGGGAGACGTCCAGCCTGCACAGTGATCGGCGGGGATAGTGATTGGCGGGCACAGTGATTGGTGGGGACAAAACGTGGTAGTGTTCTGTAAGGCCTCCTGCCAGCTTACTGCTCTTGGCTTGGCCAGTTTCGCTGCTGCACTCACTCGACCAGTTTCGCTGCACTCACTTGACCAGGTTCGCTGCACTCACTTGACCAGGTTCGCTGCACTCACTTGACCAGGTTCGCTGCACTCACTTGACCAGGTTCGCTGCACTCACTTGACCAGGTTCGCTGCACTCACTTGACCAGGTTCGCTGCACTCACTTGACCAGGTTCGCTGCACTCACTTGACCAGGTTCGCGGCACTCACTTGACCAGGTTCGCTGCACTCACTTGACCAGGTTCGCTGCACTCACTTGACCAGGTTCGCGGCACTCACTTGACCAGGTTCGCTGCACTCACTTGACCAGGTTCGCTGCACTCACTTGACCAGGTTCGCTGCACTCACTTGACCAGGTTCGCGGCACTCACTTGACCAGGTTCGCTGCACTCACTTGACCAGGTTCGCTGCACTCACTTGACCAGGTTCGCTGCACTCACTTGACCAGGTTCGCTGCACTCACTTGACCAGGTTCGCTGCACTCACTTGACCAGTTTCGCTGCACTCACTTGACCAGGTTCGCTGCACTCACTTGACCAGTTTCGCTGCACTCACTTGACCAGGTTCGCTGCACTCACTTGACCAGTTTCGCTGCACTCACTTGACCAGGTTCGCTGCCTGCACTCACTTGACCAGATTCGCCGCACTCACTTGACCAGTTTCGCTGCACTCACTTGACCAGGTTCGCTGCACTCACTTGACCAGTTTCGCTGCACTCACTTGACCAGGTTCGCTGCACTCACTTGACCAGTTTCGCTGCACTCACTTGACCAGGTTCGCTGCCTGCACTCACTTGACCAGATTCGCTGCACTCACTTGACCAGGTTCGCTGCACTCACTTGACCAGGTTCGCGGCACTCACTTGACCAGGTTCGCTGCACTCACTTGACCAGGTTCGCTGCACTCACTTGACCAGGTTCGCTGCACTCACTTGACCAGGTTCGCTGCACTCACTTGACCAGGTTCGCTGCACTCACTTGACCAGTTTCGCTGCACTCACTTGACCAGGTTCGCTGCACTCACTTGACCAGTTTCGCTGCACTCACTTGACCAGGTTCGCTGCACTCACTTGACCAGTTTCGCTGCACTCACTTGACCAGGTTCGCTGCCTGCACTCACTTGACCAGATTCGCCGCACTCACTTGACCAGTTTCGCTGCACTCACTTGACCAGGTTCGCTGCACTCACTTGACCAGTTTCGCTGCACTCACTTGACCAGGTTCGCTGCACTCACTTGACCAGTTTCGCTGCACTCACTTGACCAGGTTCGCTGCCTGCACTCACTTGACCAGATTCGCTGCACTCACTTGACCAGGTTCGCTGCACTCACTTGACCAGGTTCGCTGCACTCACTTGACCAGGTTCGCTGCACTCACTTGACCAGTTTCGCTGCACTCACTTGACCAGGTTCGCTGCACTCACTTGACCAGTTTCGCTGCACTCACTTGACCAGGTTCGCTGCACTCACTTGACCAGTTTCGCTGCACTCACTTGACCAGGTTCGCTGCCTGCACTCACTTGACCAGATTCGCCGCACTCACTTGACCAGTTTCGCTGCACTCACTTGACCAGGTTCGCTGCACTCACTTGACCAGTTTCGCTGCACTCACTTGACCAGGTTCGCTGCACTCACTTGACCAGTTTCGCTGCACTCACTTGACCAGGTTCGCTGCCTGCACTCACTTGACCAGATTCGCCGCACTCACTTGACCAGGTTCACTGCACCGCCGATCTCCTCTGGCAGGCACTCCAGCTTGTTGTGACTCGCCAGTAGGTTCTTCAGCTCCACTAGCCTGGGTGTAGTGCAGTGGAGTGCAGTGGAGTGAAGTGGGTTGCAGTCAAGTGGAATGAAGTGCGGTGGGGAATGAGGGAACGCAGAGGCTTTAAGTCGACTCAGAGGTCACTTTCTTGTGTCTCGCTAGCAGACTCTTGAGCTCCACTAGCCTAGGTGGAGCAGGAACACGAAAAAACGGTGGGAGCCATGGGCTACGGGACAAGAAGAGGGGGCGAAGGGGCACCTGGAGGCTGGCGTAAGTGTGTCCTGATGTGCCTCAGCTTGTTGCCATGCCACACCATTAACCATACACCCCACAGCCAGCACTCCACACTCCACTCTCCACTGTACATACCTCACCAGAAGCCCACACATCACAATCCGTACACCCCACAGGCCACTTCACTCGCCAGACTCACTTGGCAACGGCAGCAGGCAGGCGAGGAGGCAGGGCGTTGCAATTGTGAGTCTGGATGACATCAAGGTACGCGTGGGGCGGGGCAGGCAGGCAGGCGATCTGATCTGATTCACCCCCATACTTCATTTCCCACAACTCCACGCACCCCACACACCACTCCACACTCACTTGCCGACAGCAGCAGGCAGGCGGGGCAGGGCATTATAGCTGACGTTGAGCCACGTGAGGCACGGCAAGCGGCCGAGTTCCTCTGAAATGCGGGTAAGGCTGTTGTGTGACAATAATGCTTTCTGCAGCTCCACGGCCTAGAGAGAGTGGGGGGAGATTGGGGAATTGGGGGGGAGGGGGAACTAAAGCAGGCAATCTCCTCTGAGGAAGTGGCTGAGGTTATTGTGTGGGTGAGACTATTGTGTGCCTGCAGCGCTTTCTGCAGCTCCACGGCCTGGAGGGGGAAGGGATGAGATAAGGGGAGATGGGAGGAATGGGGTGACCACTACCGTCACACTGATCTCCACACACATAGCGCACGTTATTTCTCAGAATACGGAACTCTGTCTAGAATCTAGTACATCTTAAACGGGACCAGAAGTATCAACACACGTTTTCCGCATAGATCCATCAACCACGCCAAGTCAAGGCATGCAACGCACCAAGTCGCCGGTCTCTCCCTTCCAATAAGACCCCCACCACTTCTCGGACTGAGGGACGTCGTCCAGCAGCGAGTAGACCTCGGGAAGAGTCACCCGCAGCAGCACACGATCTTTCACTACAGATGCACCTATGACCCACGGTCGACGCATGCCTGGCAAAGGCATACACATCAACGCACCTCCCACCACTTCTCGGACTGAGGGACGTCGTCCAGCAGCGAGTACACCTCGGGAGGCACTTCCCTGTGAGACACGCCGCAAGGGGGATGGAAACGAAGAAACTTGTGGAACCATCTGGAAGGAACGAGTGGCACGAATGGCTATCTGGATTAAATAAACAAAAGGATTGGAACCAATTGAACTGACACGAGTGGTGATTGGAGACGCCATGTCAGGGCGACAAGCATTAAGGGTGATTGGAGAGGCCTTGTAGGGCGACAAGCATTAAGACGTCTCAAGGGACGCCACAAACGGGGTGGTTAAGTCAACTCGCCTGTAATCGAGGTACATATAATGACTCCTCGTCTCGTAAGAACTAGAATACCCATTCACAGGATTCGTGGTATCGTACTTGAGATCTTTCCCTGAGAGGTTGAGAGTCCCCGACGACCGAGCTGCCTTGAATACAGCGTCGAGTGCGGGCGTGACCACCACTATCCCGCGCTGCATATCAGCCCGCGCACCTCCCCTCCTCATTTCGCGAAATCGTGAGTGATCGTGACTGGTCGCGAGCGATCTCGGATGCTTGTAAATGCTCACACAAGAGCGTGCAGAAAAACTACAAAATCGCGTAAGGTTTCGTGACCGAGGCTGGGAAGAACACGCGACTAGCTAGTCCCAGTGTGTTTCGAAGGAGCACATAATCACCTTAGTAGATTCGTATATTTCTGGCGGACAACCCCTAGTCACGTAATCACTCGCTCACTTCATTTGTTTCATGGTACTGCTTTTGCCAAACGATGGAAGCAATGAAATGGAATCTTCTCTGATCACAACGGCTCTTTGATAATGGTTTCCGTCTGAGTTCTTGGAATTTGTCAGAAGAGGCGAGGCGCGCGCGAAATCCTTGTTTTCATAACTCGTTATAGAGATCTTGCGTGCAAGGATTCTGCAAGATGAAGTACACCGATGAAGTCCACACATGGACTATCCAATATGTGAGTTTAATCCTTTGTGCGCTTGAACGCGCACGACCACAATCGGGAATTCGAAAATCTTTGGAAAATGGCCTCTCACGGGGGTGCCCCTTCTTTCTTGATTTGTGATTCGACATTGTTATGCTTGTTGGTGGATTGGCGACTACCCGAACAGAAATCTCTCGCCAGCGTGTACCGACTTCCGTGGCACTCAATAACACGCATTCATTCACTGTGCTGACTGTGCCACGAATGAATAGCTGCCACCTTCGAAGTTTGTGCTGACTGTGCCACGAATGAATAGCTGCCACCTTCGAAGTTTGTGCTGACTGTGCCGCGAATGAATAGCTGCCACCTTGAAGTTACTGCGAGATCAAAGGTCGCACAAGTAATGACGAAGCAAGCACTGGTGGACCCAGTAGCACTCCTCAACAAACCAGTAAGGGCGCGTGTGATCCTTGAAAATTTGTCAAGTTCGAGCTTAAATCGCTTTTCACCGTGGCGAAAAAACTCTCAATAGTGTCCTACCGTGTAGAACCTTTCTAGAAGTTCGAACTTTGGGAAGTTCAAAAATAGTATCACACGCGCCCTAAGGGCGTGTAAAATCGCCGCACCTAAAAATTCGGCCACAAGCCGAATGGCCGAATTGGCGAAAGTAACCCGTTTGCGATTTCAACGAAGAAGCTTGCGACAATCATGAATTTCGCTAATAAAAAACGAAATTGATGGCCGTTTTGAAAGTCGACTCGAATTCGACACCATGTCGACTCCAATTCGGCCAAGTAGTCGACACCGTCAGCGACTGTAACGTGCGACGTCGCACGGTCTCGCAGAACGACAGAATTTTTTTATCTGGTCGAATCAGAGATTTCGCCGTCAAATGTGCGACCACGTCGCACATTCATTCCTACTGTAGCACTTGCAAATTTTACAAGTTTTTGAAATCGGCCTGGAATTCGGCCCTCAAACCTGTAAAGTCTGCAAATCTGCAATAGTGGCTGTAAATGTGACGACACGAAGTCGACCAATCCGTCGACTTTCGCGAAAGAAATGTCGACCACATGGTCCACGTAAAACCGGCCAAAAGCAAATTTTGCATATTTGCGGGGATTTTACACGCCCTAAGGGCCTCCTCCCTTACCTCCAATCGTCCGAATTTGGCAAGGGCATGTATCCACTGTCCTCTCATCGTTCTCGCCATTTCAATTCCGACAGTCCTTTTCACATTTGGAGTTAGCTTCCTTTCGACCGTGAAAATGTCTTACTGTGAGTGAAAGTGCTTCCGCCATTCCAAGCAGTGAGCTAGTTGTTTCTTTGATATGACAGTACTGACTTAGGTCCGTGTGATCTGTGCGTGAATCCCCCTGTCAGACGGCGGAAGCGACCCCAGCCCGTATGACTATCCTCTCCCAGGTGTGGCTCGATCTTATCACCACCGCTCCAGTTCCACGCAAATCAACACCATGTCTCGTTTTTTCCTCTAAATATTTCGATTTCGCTTACGATTTCTTTATACTCGTATTACAAAATTCCTCCCAGGTGGACCCGCGCCACGTGGGGATGTGGTCGTGACTGGCCTCACGGGCGGATACGGCAGTGAGAATAAGGGCAAGGGAAAGCACTTCAAGGGGCACTTCAAGGGACGCCACGGTCACCACAAGGGACACGGTCACTATGGACATCACGGAGGTCACAAGCATAAGGGCCTCGGTCACCGGATTGGCAAGCACTTCAGGCACGGCCGCAAGCACAAGTAGAAGTCCTGCAATTTTGTAAAAATCGTTAACAGTCGCCCTCCTGTTGTGTTATGTGGAGAATCCAGGTGACCTCGTTTCATGCTGTGCATAAATCTGTCTTGTTCCGTCACGCAAATGTTGAAATTCAAACTTTCCGCCACTCCCACCGATTTTATAATCGGCTTAAAGCCCGAGGTCAGCATGGCAATTTTCCAAGTTATGTGAGGTTGGAAAAGTATTGGCGAAACCTTGACAGCAAGAATTTCGAGATCTTAGCGGGGCGAAAGCGAAATCAGGTGACGAAGAATAGGCGAGCGGGAACAACCGAGACAGCTGTTCCTGGTCATCGAGGCGAGGGGGGTGGAAGCGACCTGACGTGCGACTGAACACCTCGCTCGCTCCACCCCACTATGCGACAGCTCTGTCCAAGTTTCTGGGTTGGGCGAACGATCCAGTGCGCGACAGAACACTGAGCTCGCCCCACCACCACCAATCTCTCTTGCAGTTGAACTGGTGGGCGCGCGCGGACCCCTCGCGCAGGCCCGCGAAAGGACTGAGCCAGTACACTGAACACATTTTTTCACATTTTCTACTTGACTAGTACGAGTCTTCACTCAAAACAACAAAATATGTGGGGTGCTGAAATGTGTGGGAAAATCCTTGAATTCTACTTTCCAGCAAACACAGGGCATATCAATAATAGAATATCAAAACACGGGAAGATGTCAACTCGAGTAAATTCAGCTTCGGCAACTCTTATTGCGCTTTCAAGCCTACGTAAGGATGGAGGGAAGAGAAGGTCCACCAAGAAGCGCGAAAGAGACCCATGTCCCGCACCTTACAGTCCCTCTGTGAGGTTTTTGGGTCATGCTCCTGGCAGGTGGGAGGGTAGGAGCACGAGCAGGAGGGAGTGGAGAGGCGGTGGGTGTGGACAAGAGAGGAGGGGTAAATTGTTAAACAGGCTAGGCGAAAACGAGAAATAGGCAAAGATGATTTTCACTAACGAGCATAGGGATACATATAGCAAACCCTAGAAGGGCTGTACTCGCTATAGAGTACCCCACTGCAGGCTAGACAACCATTACATTCTGACATAAATGGGAGGGACATCAAAGATGGTGAGATGGGGTAGGAGATGTCAGAATGAAGAATGGATGGTGCATTGATGTTGGTTGGGGTACATATAGCTAACCCTAAGTTTTGTACCCCCTAAGACAAACCTCACTATAGGCTACAACATTTGACACACCCCCATAGCCTAAGTGAGGGGTGTCTAACAGAACCAAACGAGTACGGTCACAAGACCAGTCCAAGAAACAAGGCTCAGGGTGGATCACAACGTCACCACACAGTCTGAGCACAAACAACAGTGGCCACAAGGCCAGTCCAAGAAGTAACAGAGATATATAGAAAGCAAAGTAAACAGTACACTCAAGTCTAAGCAACACGAGAACCAGTGTCAACAAGGCCTAACTGCACACAGCACCTCTGGTGGTCACAAGGCGAATAGACAAAGGAGAATAGACGCCTTGTTGTCAGTGAACAAGGTCGGTGCAGAGCTCGGCCGCTCACCAAGGTCGGTGAGCAAGAAGGTCAACCAACGCAGCTCCTGTGCCGCCATGGCACCAGCGTAGATCTCAGCCTCAGCTGTAGAGGTCGAGACCGAAGAGGAGCGCGTGGACCGCCAGGAAACAGCTCCAGAACCCAGGCTGAAACAGTACCCCTGAGTAGACCTGTGAGTCTCAGCGTCGTCAGCGTAAGAGGAGTCACAGTGACCAGTAAGTACGACAGACTGCTGCCCTCCAAGAACTAGCCCCACGCCTGACGTCGTCGCTAGGTACTTCGCCACCCTCACAGCTGCTGTCCAGTGAACAGGACGGTGTCTCCCTGGCGCAACAAAGCGCGCAAGAACGCTGAGAGGGAAGGCGAGGTCCGGGCGAGTACAAGTCATCAGGTACATGAGGCAACCCACAAGCTCTGCGTAGGGACCACTAGGCTCGAACGGCTCGTCAGGAAAGGGTCCAGTGAGTCTGTGGTCAACAGCAAGAGGTGTGCGCTGTACTGTGGAGTGCTGAAGCCCGAACCGCTGAAGGACCTGCTGCACCATGTGCGACTGTGAAAGTGTAATGGTGCGAGCAGCTCTGTCCCTGGTGATCTGCAGGCCAAGGTAGTGGCGCAGCTCACCAAGATCAGTGCAGGTGTGTCTCTTCTGCAGTTCGGACTTCACGTGTGCCAAAGCAACCCTGTCAGGGGTGGCGAAAACAAGGTCGTCAACGTAGACCAGAACAAAGAAAGGTGTGGTGCCACGACGAACGAACAGCGACGGGTCAGCAGAAGACGGCTGGAACCCAAGGTCAGACAGGGTAGAACGCAGGGTGTCGTGCCACTCACGAGGAGCCTGACGAAGACCGTAAACCGGTCGCCTCAGCCTCCACTGGGTCCCAGGAGGGAAAGAGCCAGTGAAGGCAGAGGGACGACGCAACCAGACCTCCTCGTGAAGACTGCCCTGAAGGAAAGCAGTAGAGAAGTCGAGAGAGTGTAACTCGTAGTCTCTCTGTGCTGCTACGTGTAGTAACACCCGAAGAGTGGTCATCTTCGGGGTGGGCGCGAAGGTCTGAAAGAAGTCAACTCCCTCGCGCTGACTGAAACCTCTAGCCACGTAGCGCGCCTTGAAGACCGGAGGAGATCCCGGTGGCCGCTTCACCCTGTAGATCCACATGCCGTCGACTACGTTCGCCCCCGGAGGGGGAACCTCATCGACGTAGGTGCCTGTGGATCTGTAGGAGGCCATCTTTGCGTCCATGGCAGCTCTCCACTGAGAGGCCCAAGGCCCTGACACTGCCTCAACGTAAGTGCGAGGAGTCGGAATGTCAAGGGCGTCGGGGTCACCCTCAGGGGCGAGGAGCATGGCACAGAGATGAGGGGAAGCGGCCGCCAGGAACTCTAGCTCAAACTGCCTGTCCTCTAGGGCGTCACAGCCAAGGGCAGACACACCCCCGACGGCCAGAGGACTGGAAGGAGGAGCAGCCACAAGAGCGGTGGCGAAGTCAAGGCGGCGGGTAGAGGCAAACTCAGTGACTGCGGCAGTAAGAGCGGACACAGAGGACACAGAGGCACGAGGGTGAGTAACAAGTGAGGCGAGAACACGAGAGAGAAGAGGACGGTACGTGCGGTAGTAGTCAGTGACAGGAGTAGGGAGCGACGCAGTGAGAGCCGACTCAGGAGGAGACGGAAGCACAGACGGAGACGGACGAGGTGGACTAGAACGAAGTAAGGCAGTACGAAGGTCAGTGAAGGGAACAGGAGACGAGGGACGAGCACGAGGGGAGCGACGAGAGGCCCAAGTCTGAGAAGGAGGAGGGGACAACGAAGACTGAGAACGAGGGAAAACAGCGGGAGAGGGGTCAGGAGGAGGAAGCGGAGGACCAGAGACGGGAGGAGAGGGGGAGGAGGAAGGAGAGGGAGAGGGGAGACCAAGGGTCCGAAGACCCGAGACAGGAGGAGGAGACGGCAGCTGCTGCTGCTGCGGCTGCTGCGGCTGCTGCGGCTGCTGCTGCTCCAGCGGCTGCTGCCCCTGCTGCTGCTCCTGCTGCTGTCGCTCCTGCTCCTCGAGCCGCTGCAACTCTCTCTCCTCTCTCTCCAACTCCAGCTGCTCCTCACGAGCACGACGAACACGAGCCTGGAACCTGGTCGGGTAGGGGTGGGGGGAAGGAGTAGTGTCCGGGGCAGCGGCAGCCCCAGAGTCGACCTCCGAAGCACCAAGCACACCACCCCCAGAGGCAGCACCAACACCAGCTCCAGACCCAGGCTCTCCAGAAACCGAAGGAACACCCTCACCCCCAGACGCAGCACCAGCACCCCCAGACTCCGCACGACCAGTACCAGCCCCCGGAGGAGAAGAGTCCTCTGCAACCCGCGGCTCAGCTCCAACTCCAGCACCCCCAGAACCAGAGACCTGTACAGGGACAGTCGTAGGACCAACCTCCCGAGAGGGAGCACCTACAGGAGGCGGTGAGGAAGACTGTGGGGAGGGAGGCTGTACAGGGGGGGCTACCGAAGGGGGAGGGCTAGCCTGAGACACACCAGACGGGGCTGGACCAGGGGGGGGAGGCTGTACCGGGGGAGCAGGCGGGGGAGCGGCTGTCAGGAAGAGGGGGGGAGGAGGAACCGGGAGACCTCGACTGGGGTACCTGACGTAGTACGGGGTGGACTCCTCGAAACGGACGTCACGGGAGTCAAAGAACCGGTGAGAGGGAGGGTGGTAAAAGGTGAAGTCAGAGGAGTCCTCAGGGAAACCAAGGAAGACACAAGGAACGGCGCGAGGCGAGAGCTTGTCCGCGGAGGTGTCGCGGACAAGAGCCAAGCACCCCCAGACACGAAACCTCGACGCGACACCAGGGGACCCTGTCCAAAGACTGGTCGGTGAAGCCTCCGGCCGAGAGACGCGTGGCCAGAGGTTCAGCTGGTGCGCGGCGTACCTGACTGCGTATGGCCACAGGAAATGGGGGGCACGGGCGTGAGTCAAGGAGGTGCGGGCAATCTCCATGACCAGGCCTATGCGACGCTCAGCAACCCCATTCTGCTGTGGGGACTCCGGAAGCGTCCAGGACTGACGAATGCCCTGTTCGCGACAGAATCCAGCGAGAATGCCGGAGCGAAACTCGCCCCCGCGGTCGGAGTGGAGACAGCTGACACGACGACCACGAGTGTCCTGGGTGGTAAGCAACCACCTGATCAGCGTAGAAGTCACCTCAGACTTCCTCGCCAGGGGGAACACTGTGGTGTAGCGGGAGTAGTCGTCAACGACCACCAAAAAGAAACGCTCACGCTCAGGGCCAGGGCGAGGAGAGGGGCCCCAGACGTCCAAGTGCAGCGTCTCAAAAGGCTCGGTGGCCGGACGAAGGGAGGAGGAGTGAGGGGTGGCACGCAGCCTACCCTCGACGCAAGGACCGCACGGTGGTGCAAGAGACGGCGGCAGCGACGGCAAGACACGCGGGAGACCTAAGACCAGACGCTGACTA